GTCAATGTATGACCAATGATTTATGGCTCAATATGCTGCACTGAAAAACAGCTAATATCTTTCTCCTAGGAGTGTGCCAATTTTCTCCACATCTCACTTCACAAGTAGACACATTAACATTCCTCACTGCCATTTACACTCCTTAACTTTTGTGCGGATGTGTAAATAAGTACTGAACAAACAAGTCATTGCTTCTCATGGTGACTTTGTGATGTGTAGGACATCTTAAATAGTGGAAAACCATCCATCCTCAGTCTCTATAGTGATGTTGCAGGTCAATATGTGATATCAGGACAAAGGCCTAGTTAAATGAAACACATCTAGATGGTCAATGTAAACACATACAGTGTGTGTAGTAAAAAAAGTAAAAAAACGAAAAAAAAAAGTCAGTCACATACACAAAGCAAACAACAAGATCCCATAGTCTAAAAGTAAACAACAAATCATTTCAAACTATTTTAGGTGTAGTCACTGTGTGGCACATCAACATGCCGGAAGGTGACGGAGAGCTGGGTAAATCATACTCTTAATATATGTATGCAGCATAATTGCAGTCATCAGAGGCAGCAGCCATTTTACACAACAACAAGCCCCTTGGCATTTTGGGATGGGACGCACACAACACACAACTCTCATTCTGTGACAAAGTGCCGCTAATCTCTGTATCCATTTTTCATTGTGATAGCTACTGTATACGCCTCGCTCCTTGGAGCAACTGGGGCCAGGAAAAGGAAATGTTGGAAAGAGGAGTGGGGTAGGGGGAGTATATGTAGGTGGCTGCCACACTAGTGTCAGCATCAAAGAAACAGCAAAGAAATAGGCTGATCTATAGTGGGTGCCACTGTAACAGCTGCTGATGCCAGAAGCACACAAAATTGTGGAATAAATACATTAACCTGTTAACCTATTGAAAAGCATCCATTTGGTGTGTGCATGTGTGTAAATGGGCCTGTTTCTGACTGTGTGTGTGACTGCCACACATGCACAATGGTTTGGCTTCGATGCTTTGGCTTCAGGCCCTTTCTGCTGCCAATACATGGCACGATGAATGGAAAACTAAACTCAACGAGGGATGCCTAACCAGCCGCGGCAATGACTGCCTCACAGTGTATGTATTGCAACTAATCAAACACAATGCCACATTACAATGCATTAACTTAAATGATAAAGGCTCCCCAGTTCAAATCGATCGCCTTGAAAGGTTCAATTGGCTGAAACAGAGCGCATTTCCAAAACAGTAATATCAAACAGTCAATGGCAGCAATCACTTCAGGTGCACACCGGGCAAGTGCAAGTGTATTTTCTTTCAGTGTTTTGCTCTTCCATATACCCACCGCCAGTCAAATTCCATCCACAGAAACATATACTATTCTGCTTTGTTCCATATCTCCTCAGGCAAACTGCAGTTTCCACACACAGTTTTCTCAACTTGCACACAATAAAACCTCACAGAAGAAGTCGCTGAACCAGTAAGAGTGCAAAATGACACACAAATGAAACTAATTATTAATTAAAATGAAGATACCCTATCACGCCATTTACTTGTTTGATGCTCATTTATCCCTCTTAATTGCTTACTGATGGTTTTTCTTTGCAAACAACAGACGGTGATGAAATATGAATTGTCCATTAGCATTCTCCACGTTCCTTTCTACCTGCCTGACTGTACCAAAGATAGAGAGAATCTAATCAAATGATAATGTTTATTTACAGAGAAGCCATAGGCCTATATGCTTGGAGAAATGTTTTTGATCCAGTGAATCAACACAATATGGTTTTTAATAGCAAGTATTACATTCTTAAGTTAACACTGATTTTAAAGCTGCTCTAATAATTATTTTTAGATTAACAATGGATTAAATATGTGTATGTGAGAGGGGCTGCTAGGGATGATGAACACAGAGAATGATCCACTCAGCTATACGGTGACTATAAGCAATTTTCAGCTTATTATTGTGGTTTTACGTCGCTGTTTTGGTTCACTTTCACCACTCTCATCAGCGTCAATTCCAAATGCAGGATGATGTTTTTGGCAAAAAGCTCTGCTAAACCTCCTGTACACTGCCTGCCCAGCATCAACGGCAGACAGACAAAGTTAGCAACTAGCATTAGATGGTGGAGCATTTAGCAGCTAAAGTGGGCAATTTCTGTTCAGGAGTTGGTGGAGAGAAAAACAGAGCTAAAAGAGGGGGAACATTGGCTGGCCAAAAACACAACTCTATTTGAATGCTAATGTTGCACGTTGTCTATCCAATGTGTAAATAAGCAACCGTTTGATAGCAAGTTAGCCGTACCACCTCAAAAGGCGTAATAATAGGCTACTTATCAGAGTTGTGTTTACACTCGGTTTACCCGGTTTATCTTGTTTCTGCTGCGCCCAAGTGACCAAATCCATAGATTTTATACATTAAAGTGTGTTTACAGGTGTTGGGGAATCCTACTGCATAGATATATGTACTGAACAAAATTATAAATGCAACACTTGATCATGAGCTGAACTCAAAGATCTCTATGTACACAAAAGGCCTATTTCTCTCAAATATTGTTCACAAATATGTCAAAATCTGTGTTAGTGAGCACTTCTCCTTTGCCGAGATAATCCATCCACCTCATAGGTGTGGCATATCAAGATGCTGATCAGACAGCATGGGTATTGCACAGGTGTGTCAAAGGCTGACCACAATAAAAGGCCACTCGAAAATGTGCAAAATCTGATGATTTGCCTAAAGTGACATCACATGACACCGTTTTTATAATGTGGGTTATACATGTGTGAAAATAAAAATAAAAACTGGTGAATATAACAGTTAGAAAGAAGTGAGTTTACCAGAACTCTGTAACCTGCAACTCATGATGTTAATCCACCATCAAATAGGTCCACAGGGTTAATGTCTATAGCATTTGTTCTGGTGGTTAAAAGGTCTGCAGTGCACAGTACTATGGAGGACCGATCCTGACACAGTCAGAAATAAATACAGAAATAAATAAATGCTTAATAAATAAATAAGCATCCGATTAAATACACAAAAATATAAAGTAAATAAATAAATGTAGGTAGTAATTAAATTATACAAGGAGACAAATGTATATATCTATTTTAATTACCTTATTTATTTATTGTCTGTTATAATCTTCAACTTCATTTATTAATTACATCTTTTTTAAATGTATTTATTTATGTGTGTGTTTTAATATTTTTGTCTGTTTTATTCTTGCGTTGCATTTTCTACCCTATTTATTTTCACCCATGGTATTTATTTCTGCCTGTCCTTTTTACATTTCTGTATGCATTTCTGCCTCATTATGCAAATGAGGAGGGGCTGTGTCTCAAGGGGTGAACTTCTCTCCTATTGGTGGACCAGTCAGACGGGAGAGCTCAAGGCCTTCTCTGCCTGCAGACATCAAGGAGCTGCTCCTCACACAGTCAGATGGCTTCCTTCAGTGCTCTGAGGTGTTTCGCAGCTCTGTTTGAAGACAATACTACCAGCCATGTCTTCCTTCTCTTTTCAAAGCCCTTTCTTATAAGCCCCAAATCCTCAAAATTACAGTTCTGCCATGCTTAAATTTGTCCTCCCAATGCATTTAAATTACACATATTAAAAAGGTAAAGGAGTCTTTGTGTAATCGATAACTGCCAGTGCAATTTAGGTTTTCCCTCTTTATCAGAATAAACCTGCTGGGACCAAAATTTTAGAAGAATATGCGTAACAAATGCAATTACCTATCTGCTGTTAGAGACACTGAAAGAGTATAAGATACATTCCCTTTTATTTTACAAGGGTTTTAGTGGTTCATGAATAATCTGAGGTTGTGTTGACCCTGCCTCTCAGGTCACAGAAAGGGTCAGGGATTTGCAGATAGGCCACACGCAACTTCCTATTTGATGGCAGGGGACAATAGTCTCCTGTCAGAGAAATGGGAAATGACAGGGCAGAACTTTCCACCATGCCATTTGGCTCAAGCAGCCGGTCAATCCCAGACACATTTTCTTTCTCGCATCTCCCTTCAAATTTTGGGGTCTGATGAAGGAGGGCTGGGAGGTGATGAAGATTAATGGTTCAGACTCTGTGACAAACAGTTCAAAAGCAGAAAATTTTGAATTGGTATTTTATCTGTAGACAGTAGATATTTCTCATGCTGAGTCTGAATAAAGGGAAATAAAGTAATTACCTTTTCAAAATCTGCAAATTTGGGTAATGGTCTCCTCTGAAGCAGTTAATTAGGAAATGTTCTAACTAAACTACACCTTAATCTTAAGCATTAGACTGACTTGAGAACAATAACGAACCACGTGGAAATGTGACATACACGTGAAGTTTATCTGTACGAAAAGAGGACCACCCTACAGGAGAACATTAAAAGCCAGGCCATGATAAATGTGTCAGCACCACATTGCTGATTCCTCCTGAAGGTAACCTCACCTGAGGTACATGGCTGCTGCATCAAGTGCAGGATGTCCACATGTGCGCCAAACTCCTGAACAACACACCAACATAAGTGATGGGACCATTTGAAGCTTTGTGACATTTACCTTTATCATGCAGTAGGCCTACTCACTGCTGTAATGGACCGTTTTTACGGTTACATAAAAGCAGCCTTTGAGTAGGACCTGGAGGAGTAAACAAACTGTGTGCAATGCACGGTCTATTATTTCCTATACTCTCTGAATAGTTTCAATACTGACAAACTTGTATAAATAACCAAAAGGCATTCCATCACAGAGTGTCATGTCTATGTAGGAAGGTACAGGCAGAGTGTACTGCTTAGTACACCCTCACTGTAATGCCACGGTCACCATGGCGTCAACATCTTTCATTTTCTCTGCAATATGTTTAACATTTTAACTGCCCCCCCGCTCAAAATGATTTTATTATATATATCTGCCAGAAGTTGAAAGGGAGGAAGAGATTTCCAATGAAGTTTCACTGTCACTTCCCCAAAACCTAGTGCCATTTCAGTCAGTTAAGTAAAAAAAAATAAAAAATAAAAAACCACACACATAAGCGTCACAGTTTCAGTGTTTATTTCACCATCCTTGCCCTTTTGATTACATACCCAATACTAAAAAGAGACAATATTCACCGAGGTTCTGCAGAAATAACCTGCTGAGGGTTAACAAGGTAGTGCAACTTAATACAAATCCATCAAAATGGGTGAGGGGTAGTCACAACATGTGTCTTGACACTGCTGTTAACTAAATAGGATTACATGGTGCAAAGACATATGCTGGCTAAATTATATAACTTACTACATATTTTCAAAAAGGCCACATAAAGAATTTAAACATGGAAGAGAGAACAAATATACACTATACATGTACAACACCACTGTTAATGTGTGGATACATTAAAGTTATACTCTAAACCAAAATCTATTTTTGGACTATTTAGACACTCGCCTACATCCGTGTTAAAGCCACCTTTCAAGTCTACAGAAGATGAGTGTTTGATACGAGATTTCAGGGGGAGGATCACGTGAACAGTCATGACAATTCATCTAAAAAGCAGGGAAGCCTGATAAATAGGTTATTCAAGTCAAAAAAAAAACAACAACAACAAAAAAAAAAAAAAAAAAAAAAAAACACACACGTGTGAAAAAAAAAAAAAAAAAGAAAGTTAAAATTCACCCACATCCACCCTCTTGTCCCTGAACTTGCTTCTAGCCTTGGTCCGAGCCTTGAATGCAGCTGAATTGTGGAGATGCTGGGACAGAGACACACAAAAAAAAGAGTTCATACGCATTAGGGGAAGAAAAAACCAACAACTATATACAGCATGTTTAATATGGCAAATGGCCAACATATTACAAAAACCCCACAAAGGGAGGGTTTGAATAACTTGTGTATACAAACACACATACCCTTTCAAAGCGAGAGATTTTCATGGCCTTCATCGTAGCTGAATCAACCAACATTGGTGGTCCCAGTTCAAAAACGTCTCTGATGAATTCATTACCCTTGTTCAAGAGAAGTAAACAAAACTCTGAGAACACACTTCAGCACAAGCACAATACAAAATCTGAACAGTAGCTTAGTATCTTTAGATGTTGTACGCTCTGAAATATGTTCCATTGTCTCATCTTCACTTGTTAAATGTTGCAGTTTTCCATTAGCACTGGCTGCAGGCCAGATAGCAGACTACTTTCCAGCCAGCAACTTGTAATGCCCCCTGCCCAATACGCAACATTATCCTAAATCAAGTTGTAAGTGCTGTCTCCCTGCATCAGGCAAGCCTCACATCTTGATTATGTTTTAGTGCTGCGTCATCCAACCTAACCCAAACTCACAACGCCACAGTGCAATTCAATTAAAATGTCGACTTTCATGCACTTAACTTTCGAGTTTGGCACAAATTTAAAAGTGTATGCCACACTCCACCAATATTTAATATATTACACACACACACACACACACACACACACACACACACACACCTGTAGATGGTAGTTCATCCCAGAGCCCACAAACTCTCTGAAGGCATCATATGTCCTTTTTCTGACCCAGCTATCAATGGTCATGCGCTCAGTCCCAAAGCGAATGGTCTCAGACTGGAAGTCACCCTCCTGAAAGAACATAGAGGGAAGTGAGAAAAAGGACTAGCCAAAAAACAGACCCTTGTGCGCCCTCTTAATTCATCTACACTAAAAACGCAGAATCTCTAGCCTGTCACTTTAACCCACGCAGGATAAGAGGAGGAAGAAGTTTAAGAAATTTGCGGTCTTTCAATGGACACTAAACACTCACCTCAACAGCCTTGAGTACGTCCCTGAACACAGAGCGCTGCTTCCTCTTGTCCGTCTTGGCTCTGTGTTTGTTACAGTCTGTGGCCAACATGTTCAGTTTATCACACAGTTCTTCCCAGTCATCAAACTCAAAGTCCTTGGAGACACACAGAAAGCAATGGATGCATCTATGACCACCACCACCAACAAGACATCACACTGGACAAACCAAAAAAAGATGCGTGTGCACACACACGCGGAGGTAAACCCTACAGCAAGTCGCCCACCAATCCTAAGGTTGGTGTTTTGATCCCTGGCCCCTCCTGTCTGCATGTCAAAGTGTTCTTGGGCAAGATACCCCAAATTGCTCCTGAAGGCTGTGCCCCAAGTGTGTGAATGTGGTGACTGTCATGTATTGCAAAGTACTTTGAGTGGTCAGAAGACTAGAAAGGCACCATACAAGCACAGTCCATTTATCGTTTTGCATCTAATTTAGTCAAAATAGTGGACTACACCTTACTTCAGGAAAGACAGGATCCTGGATATTAAACACAACATGAACTTACAGAATCCATGTCTCTGGCCAGCTCAAAGAGCAGGGCAATGGTCTCCCCTGCCGCAATTCTCATGTTGACATCCTCACTTTCCAGCAATCGTGGCAGTTTAGGCAGGTGTCTGTGCAACAAAAAAGATGCATTCAAAAAGGTGTTTTGCAATACTTGTCTGGGTTGCAGTAAAATAAAAAATAAAAATTAAAGTATTTGAGGTAAACAGAAAACATTTGACTGTGAAACTCAGTTGAAGGGTTGACGGTGGGTCTTACTTGCGCAGGATGTCTTTGAGCTGGTTGGCAGTGCAGATGGTGAGCAGCAGTGCCCAGGACAGGAGCGCATTGGTGTGGAGCTGGCTTGTCTGGGGACTGATCAAAGAACACGTACCGTCCACCCTAGCATAGGACCGGGTGAACAGGTTCTCAAAGCACTCCATGGTAGCATGCACGTCCTAGAACAAGAAGCAGCAGGCATAATATTTTCACTTAAAGGGTTTGTTTTGATTAAGACTGGAGCTTGCAACACAAAATTTAAAAAGACTGTTTAAAAAGACACTTAAGAAAATAAGACACCAGTCATCATAAATAACTGAGTCATTACTGAGGCACATTTGAGTTCAGCTGCCAGTGCTGTTGACATTATGAATGTTAAGACTGAATGAGGCACGATGTCACAACTGATAACGAGTACAAATAAATTACTGACAAAAGGTTGTAGAAGAGACATCACTGCAGCTTGCCCTCAAGCCCAGAGGTGTCAAACTTCAGAAGATGCCAAAAGTGATCAAGAACTTACCAAAATGTCATCTTCTGCAACTAAAGTACAGAGGCCCAGACTTGTCGCCACCTATTAAGAGGAACAGAAATTGTTCAGTTGACTTTCCACAGTATACACGTTTCAGAAAAATCCAGACAGCCACAAGTACAGTGTGGCTGCTGTTCTGCAACTTGTCAACAATGCATTCTTCCAGTGACATAACTGCTTTGCCACGGACAAAAATCAGGTACTCACAGCCTGTCTGGCTTGTATGTTGGCTGACCCATCGGCCAGGATGTTTTTGAATATTGGTTTCAGGGTCTTGAACACTTCCTCGCTCTCGATGCCCGAGCCCAGCTGGATACACAGCAGGCATGCTAAAGAAGCTGCTGCTCGCTGCTCCTCGCCTTTGCCTGACAGGAAGAGGGGTAGACATCAGGGGAAATTTGTCATGGAGTAGAGCTGAAGACAAAGCTGAGGTGATTAACTTGACCATATTATATAAAGATATCAGAGATCTTATTAAAATAACATGGCTAACATGTACAACTACAGAACAGTCTGTTTAAACACAGCATTTCTCCACTTATCAGACATGCTTTAAGAAACAATGCCAAATCTATCACCCATCGGCTGTGCCATTAGAGAACAGAACCAGACAGTTGGAATAACTGTTTAATTAACCCTTCCGATACCTTTCTTGAGGCAGCGTTCGATGCTGTCTGTGATGGTCATCCTTCTCTCTGAGATGAACTCATACAGGATCCGTGTGGCCATTGCAGTCTTAAGCCCATCCAGTGCCCTTGTCTGGTCTTAGCACTGAGGAAACCGGTGCAAAAACAGTCATTATTGCCAATAAACAAATGAATCTCTCTCCTTCAATATCAATGCTGATGCTGGACAACGCAACATCAGGAAGAGAAAAAAGGGAGATGGACTGATAACTGGAAGGTTTTCATCTTGATCGGCCGTGACTAGTAACCGGGCTGATTAGTCTCTCATAGGGCTGGGCGGTATGTCAGTATAAACCGTTTACAGATAGTCTGATGTTGAGTTAATTAATGTTTCGTAAAGTCCTGCCAGCGTTTGCGCCTCTCTTGGCGAGATATTGTAGCATTTTTCAGAGAAACACAGAGTCATTACATTACAAGTCGCGGACATTGTGTGACTAGGTAAAAAGCGACAGTGAACACAATAGTGCACATGTAATTCGTTAACTACCACGTTGATTTTGTTTTGAAAGGCTAACATGCAGCGCGGTGAACAGAATTGTGGGAGGAAATACAACATAGTCTACTGATGGAAAAAGTTACTAGCATAGAGGTTACCAGGGAGAAGAGACCAAGCTCGCAATTTGTATAAGCAGTCTTTCCCACAATGACTTTACTTTGCAAAGAAACACAGAGAGGCATTATCTGGTATCATTGCAGAATGTCGGATACACAGACGCACAAGTATAAATGCCTGGCTACGCACGTAGACCCTACGTAGGAGTATAAATCAAGCTCAATACTCTATTTTCAGTTGGATTTTATTTGTACAAAAAGCCATTTCCCTACTTAACACCCTCTGCTTTGGCTAATAGCTTGGATGAAGTCCTATGAGTTAAAGTGATTGAAACAAGAACAATTCATTTGATCGATTTGGTGAGCCAATGTTAGTTTCTGTAACTAACTAAATCAAAACAAACCCTTGAAGTGAAAAAGTGAATTGTGTCAATCATTCTCAAATGATCAAAAATATCTATAATGTTTGTCTATCATGTTCAGGAGGGTCACTATATTATTGAGCTAATGTGTTGTAAGTATAACCTCAAAACGTCATTCCCAAACGGTATTGGCAGTAGAGTGGCACTACTTGTGCATCCCTACTTCCTTACCATCCCAAAGTTCAAAAAATAATATCTCTACACACACACACACACACACACACACACACAGTATATATTTGTTGAGTTGAACAATGTTCAAACCCAGAGAAATCCATAATATTATTCAAGGTAATGGTGCGTATCATTTGGTCACCTGTAAATGGTTCCATGTCCACTACCCCTTCTAGTTGCTACAATTTCTAGGGAAACCTGGGCTACATCAGAGGGAGGAAGGAAGTGAGAGAACGTGACTCAACGTAACGTGCATAAAACCTTTAATACGTTACCTCGCGGACGAGGTAACGTATTAAAAGGTAGATGAATCTGTGGTGGTTCCAAGTGGTTGTTTAACAATGAAGACAACAACTCCCATGATCCCACGCTTCACAACGCCGTCAAACTACTTCTTTTGTTTGTTTTTGTTTTGATGTGAGCGACCCCTAGTGGCAGAAGTTACATACTATGTGTTTAATATCACCTTCAGCAGACCAATGTTGCTGAGCCTTTTTAGGGATGAAGTCTACTTTTAACTATACTGCTGCAAAGCCCACTGATAACTTTCTGCTGTGATTGAAAGTGGCACTCTACTTTCAAGGGTATTATTTCACAACACTGTACATCTATTTTGTTAGATTACTTTTACATCCTTAGTGTGCAGAAGATCAGAAAACGGGTACATAGACCATTTAACTCAGACAGGAGTTTTACCTCTTATCCACTGTGCTGTCTATGAACCCCTTCAGCTTGTACTGGAAATCCTCCTGGGCTGTGTCCTCACTGGCCTCTCCACCTGGCAACACCACAAGATTTAGCTAATGTACACTTGCCGGATATGCTTCAAAGTATTGATATTAGTTACTGTTCACAAAACAGTGGATGAACTGCACTTTTCACAGTAGGGTCATCTATCGCTTAGGAGGTCTATGATTCCACGAAAAACTGAAACTGGTAGTTTTACTCAAATGTTTGCCTAGTGACAAGACAAGCTTAGTAAAATTCAAACCAAGAAATAGGCTTGGCATCTAGTACATTCCTTTTTGCTAATGAGTGTACACAAACTGAAAACACCTGTCCATGCAGAAACACACTCTGACAGCACGTTCAAACAAAGACTGACACATAACACACAAACCTACCTTCATCTGCTACACTGGTGGTGTCACTGAAGCTGCTGCAATGACTGAGGGTCTCAATGGAGGCATCCTCATCACTGAAAGGCTGCACATTTCCATGCTGCCCTCCTGGAGAAAGAGACAGATACATCTAAGCACAGGAAATATAACTGAGCTTTATCACATCAAGCGCATTAGCACAGGTCTGTGTGACTTTATTATGTAACCCCAGCTACCGACAGGTACTGTAGGAAATGCTGCAGTTATCTAATCACTTGTGTCCTTTGCACGCGTTATCCTGCTGTACTTTCATTATCTCATGAAAATGCACCATGTTGTTAGAGTCAAGGGCAACCCACACTTCTGCTGTGTAAACACAACATTATGTTCAGGTTGGAGAGACAGGGGTCAGACGTGACAGAAACTGTCAACTGACAATCTGCCACAGCGATTACCTTCATTGAAAGACTTCCAGAATATGGTTAACTCGAATTAAAACCTGCAGACAGCAGGCATGCCAAAACACAGTCCACGTGTGATATTTTAAAAAGGTCTTTCTGAAAATAAAGTGTGGGAGTGTTGTGAGAATCTTTCAAACCTTGAAAGCTTTAGTTATGTTGCATTAGTTAAGAGAAATTCCCAGTAAAATATAAAATAAGTTGTAGATTATGTGTAGGAAATTGCTTCCTCAATGGTTGTGCACTGTAACACTCCAGCCTGACCTGAATTCACCTCAACCCCGCATGTTGGTACGTTTATCACTGTAACAACACGCCTAGTCAAAACAAAAAAAAAAACAAAAAAAAAAAACACACACCCCCCAAACAAATGTATGTACTTGAATATTTCGAGCCATGGTAAACGCTGTAGGAACCACTGTCAGATTGTTTTATCTAACAATAGAGGCTATTTCTATGTGTGTTGACGTGGACGACAGCTGATATCAGAGAAACGGGCGCCGCCTCTTTCCCACCCCGCGCTCTGGAGTCCAAAATGTCTGCCTTCTGTCACTAAACAATAATCATCAATATACAAAAACTGTTATCTGCCTTACATGTTGGTTCAAAGTCAGCCTACGTTAGTCGGAATTAATATCAGTAGCCACAAATTCGGCTAAAGATTAATTGGAGGTTGGACAAGCAGGCAACACGTCACTTTACATAGTCCCAGCTAACGTTAAGTCTTTGATATGTGGACCCACAATATAAAAAAAAAAAAAAAAGTTATTTATTCGTCTAACTTCTCGAGGCAATAATCAAGTTGTCAAAAGATATAACGTTATTTACCTACATGAACTGTATCTAGCATTACCAAAGCTGTATCTCGCTAGTGGGGAGTTGACATTAACGTTAGCTGACGTTAAGTTAACAGTTAATTAAGTTAGCTTGTAATGCACGACTAGTATTAGGGGCTCGTGCGAAGTATAAATTAGTTTAAGATCATTAAACGAGGGTGGCAATAAACACAACGTTCAAGTAAAACCACACTGTCGTATGATGGCACGTTGTGTCAGTAATAGCGATGTTTTGTGTGACCACGGCTAGTTAGCTTTGTATTTTGACGTAGGCCAACCTCTAACGTTTGTAGTCCTTACTGTAAACAAGTCGAACTCTACTCAATGATCTGACGACACAAAGAGAACTACAACTACCGTCAGCATAGTGAACTCCAATAGGCAAGGCCAAAGCAATGCGGCCGCTCGCACACTTACCCCTGCCATTCTTCTTCTTAGTCCTTGGCATTTTTCGTGCTTATAAGTAAATAATTTTATCCAAAATCAGCCAATACACGACCAGCTTTTATTGTATTGTCTCGTAAAATGAAAATATTCCCGTGGCACAGCGGATAAAAAGGAATTGAAGATGATCTTGGCGATAAACTGCTGGCCGAGACGATACATTTTCCCTCATAAAATAGGGCTGCGTAAGAAGGAGCCAGCTCTGAGTATTTATACCGGCTGACATGTCACGAGGAGGTTTCCCGGCATCGTCGACCAATCCGGGAACAGGAACAAGCGTCGCGTGTGTTCGCGCGTGACGCAGTGAACGGAATGTTGATAATATGCGTTTTTGGTTGTTTTGGAAAGTCCTGCGGCCGCCCAAACCTGTTTCTGTTGCTATCATAAAGGACTAGCCCAATTCTTGATATAATAATTAAAGGGATATATTGTAGGATATGTTTTAATCCACTACAAAGTGAGAGCCTTGTAACTTTTAAGATTCAGATTCTACATACAAAACGAATGATTTATAAATAAAACATTGTAATACATTAGTCAACAAAGCAGTACATTTCCAAATCAGTTTTATTTAAATAGTGGCAAGTTATATTATGTCAATTTTAATACAGAGCAAGTCTAGACCATACACAAAGGGTAATATTAAGATGAGCGCCACATGTTCCAGCGGCATTAATGCTGCATTGAAACATCAAGAAATATCTAAAGGGACCATTCCACAATGCCATACTTTTACTTGTAATTTTATTTTATTTTATATTTAACCTTTATTTAACCAGGCAAGTTAAAGTTAACAGCAAAAATTGGCCTGGCATGAGGAGGACATCCTCTTGAAGGGAGGGATACAAGGGGAAAAAAGAGTGTGGAGAAAAAAAGTATTTATATTTACGTTATGGTATTGCTCATTTTATTTAAATAAAGGGTCTGAGTACTTCTTCCACAGCTGTCTACCATCTGGATTAGATGGCATCAGTAGGGCTCTCTGCAGCAATACATAGCCTACAGTGATGATGTTCTCTGCAATGCAATGCATCATGTGGATTAGTTTTTCACCCAGAATATGTGAACTATTGTATGTTGTAGCCATGCTAATGTAGACAAAATAATAGAAACACATTAATAAATGACAGCTGCACAGTAAACATTACTTTGGTGAATGTTTTGTACTGCCAGATATGCACTTAAAGCCACTTTTTAGACATCTCATATTTCTTTCTTTCAGTAGAAAGTGATACAAAAGAGTGGTTTTCTTTACAAACCCAGCATTTCCTCAGTCTTTTGCATTGTATTTTTTGTATAGATTTTTTTCCAGACTCACATTGCAAGAGATAATCAGTTCCAGCTAGTACTATGGTTACACACACCTATATGCAGTTAATGGCAACTGCAGATCAGAATGAATTCATTGACTTCCAGAGTTACTGCTATCATGTCTAAATTGTCCTGCTGGCTAACAATCCTCATGAGCATTTATTAATCCGTGGTGTAACACAGAGCAGAGATTGAATCATTCCAGTTAATTATCTTTTTTGGCTTTTATTATTTCAGTCACTCTGCGTTTTGCTTGACAGGACAGAAATAGTTAACTCTTTAAACAAGTGGAAAATCTCACAGATGCAGCCTCCTTGCTGCCATTCCCACGGCTCAGCTGTCAACAGTGTTCTTGCCAGCTCAGACCTGACAAACACTAGAATATAAGCTTGCAGAATTCAAAGCTGACTTTTCATTTTACATGCACCCTCGTGTTCGACTGTTGGGGGGTTTCCAGAGCTGCTTCCCGTACACACACATACACCTACACACTGATCATGATTGTCGGTTGCCTATTTAATTCTGGGTAATTAATAAAGCTTTTTTCGTGTAGTTGTCTGGTTAGATTGTATTTTCTTTGGAGAAGCAAGTGCCTAAATCCACAAGCACTCTTTAAGACGTGGGTGGACTCGGAACACATTCAGTAATGTTTTCAAGCTTTACTCAACCAAATAGTTTTGACAAAACAAGATTTTTCTGCATACCCTGCCAAGACCGTAACATCAGACAAACATGCTCAGACAAGTTCTGGACGAACAACATATTAGCATGTACAGAAATACACACAGAAAGAGCAAATATTATTTACCTAAACACTTCAGCAGGCAGTAGCCAATGGCAATAGCATTGAGCAGTTGAAGTCTTGACTGAACAAAGCACAGACACAAGCCTTCATTGTGTGGTAAAATACAGAGAGAAAGATTTGGCGTATCATGTGAGTCAAAAGAATCAAATCAGAAGACATCTGACGACAGATGAAACAGGGGTAGTGTAGGTTTTCAGATACACAGAATTTGTCTTGGTGTTGTGGTGCACAACATTCAAAAGAAACAAAGTAAGAGAAAAAAAATAGTGCTGCAAAAGTCAAACATAAATATAAAATAAAGATGTACATTAAAATGTGATAAAAATTTGTCCTGACCTGAATATTTAAGGTGACACTTTTTACACTCAGGATGGCCCACCATATAGGACTGCACTCATTTTCTGAAGACGTTGTATGTAGCCCTGAGGGCACAGTGCATGGACAGAACCACTGCTCTGTTTGAAGCAACAAGCTTGAATTATTCATTATGTGTGAAGTCTGGGGTTAGTTAAGTGGGCAGAATAACACAAAGTGTGAGGTTAAATAGGAAGCATTCCACAACATGTAAGATTTTGAGCAAAATTATTTTGAATGATACATTCCTTGATTTTTTAAGGGGTCTAATACTGCCCCAAATCTCCAAATTTACTCATAGCTAAGTGTTTACTGTAGAGTTTGGACAATATAGCAAAATCAGAGATTGTGTAACTGTGAATGAAGTTTGAGCGCAGGTGTGTAACAAGATTTTTTATTTTTTATTTATCCAGCTAGACTTTACAACTGTCTTTGTCACTAGGGGGAGCCATTCTGTTTGAAATTCAAAAGACACACTGCTCTCACTGCAATACAGCAAGTGAAATTCTAAGAGATGTGTTTTTTGATGCATAATTTATTGAGTCTGAAACTGTGCTCGCCGCTGAGCTGTGTCTTGCTCTAAACGTTCAATGGGTGCAGTGCAAATATCAAATGACCCAACCAGGTAGGACGACTGTAAAAGTAGCATTTCAAAATGTGTACTGAGAAATTGTGGGGGGGGCAGATGCTATTTTGAAGGTAGTGGTGGGAACTGGTTCAGGCAAGGCTAAGCAACGTGCAGTTAAAGAAAAGAGAAATTACCTGCCAGTAAACCAGTGTAGGAGTAAGAAACAACAGAGCAGCCCAGTCTAGCCACACTCAGCATGCCCAGCACGTTGCATCAATGGGCACAAGCCCTGACCAACGTAATGCCGCAGGAATACAGATCATCATCAAAATAACAGACAGCAGGGCGAGAAAGTGAGAGAGAGAGAGATGACAGCAGATAATAGAAAATGTCTGAATATTAATTTAGTGTGCAATGCCTCTGTTTTTAATAATTCATAAATGACATGGCCTCCAGCAATGTGGTGAGGCTGCATGGGTTAAGCCTGCTGGGTGAGGGGAGTGAGGCTAGAAAATTATCTCAGGTTGACAGGAAAGTTTAGCAGAGGTGATCTTTTAAAAAACCCAAACAGCTCTCTTTGAAATTTAGCAGTGTGCTTTCTCTCCCTTTAGTCATTTATTATAGACAGGAATCAGACCTCGAGGTGAAGTGACTCTCACTTGATCTACTTTTTGACAATAACTATCTGAATCTGAATTTCAACCAAGCAATGTCTCACTTATCATCTTTATTTATATAATTTGTAGTTTGTTTGTGCAAAGGAGTTTTAGGTGTGCAGCTATTAATGCACACATCCAGCACTTATTCTGTACATGCTATATACAGGTTTAAAGCAATAGTTCAACTTTCTGGAAAATTTGCTTATTTGCTGTCATCACGACAGTTAGATGCATCCTCTTATATCTGTGTGATGAATATGAGTCTGCATGGTTAGCTTAGCTTAGCACAACGACTGAAAGCGAGGGAACCAGCTGGCCTGGCTCTGTCTGATGACAACAAAATCTGCCAACCACCACCTCTCCTGAAGTCTCAGCTGGCAACATCGGTGCACATCTTTTGGTTCTTTTTTAACCAAAACAGAAAACTCACATATTTAGATTAGTCTTTTGTGGTGCTTTGTAATTGTCAATGTTATCATACATATTATTTATTACTTCATGTAATTGTTTTTTTTCTTTTTTCCCCCTCTTTATCTTTTCCCATATTACCTGGTTTTGTAAAGGGTGCTAAGGTGACTTGAAAGGCGCTGACAAATAAAATGCATTATTAGTATTGGAAAAAACATTGTTTTGCATGTTTCCTCTATGTGTTTAGATTCCTCCCATTCCATTTTTATTTGCTTCTCTTTCACTGTTACAAGATTTCTGTTTCCCTTCAGTGATCATGGCATTTTTATCTTTTCATAACTGCCTTGCTGCATCATTGTCTGAATACCACTCTAAATAAACTTGAGCTGTGTCAAAAATACCAAACTGTATCATTTGGTATCCCACTCCTCTTGACTTGGACACCACCTGCCATGATTCAAATTTCTATTATTTACCAAATAACTGTTCCTGTTCAGTAATAAATACAACTGCTGGTTGATAGAGGCGAGTTGCTCAAATTAGACCATACAGCTCTTAATTACAGTTTGTTAGTCACTGACAAGATCCCATTTTCTTTCCCCTCATTTTCTTGTTTTGATGGGGGTTTAGCACTTTATCAGACAGCTTAGTATGACAGCTAGGCTACGCTTTTGTGATTGTAATTACCTCTCCATTCCTGCACACATTTATCTTATCATTTTGCAACTTCAATCTCAATCTATCAACAATTTTAAGAGGGCTCCAGAGAGAGCGAGGAGAGAGAGAGACAGGCCTTTGTTCTGAAGATGTGGTGTGCCGCACCCTTACCAGGATCCATATTCCTAACATTTTTAAAAACAGACCAAAATAAACAGAAGGTTGGGGGAAGGTCGGTCAAAAACACCTGTATGCCCCAACACTGCTCTGCCTTTTCATCTCAACTTCAAACCTAATCACACCAAGAGCAGAACGCCACTGTGTCACAGCCTCTCTTTGAATAGCTATTTGCAAATTAGTTTGCTAGTCAGTAATCCAGTAGAACATTGTGATATATTTACATTTCAAATCCATCCGCCTTTGACT